GGTGGTGTCTTCTTGGTGGTGGACACGTCGATTCATTTCGTGCTTGTTTGAGGTTATTGTTGCGCCGCGGATGCACTTAAAATACAGAAACACCGAGCTGGCTGCCGTCAGAACGCCGCGATTCAAACGCGCGGGTAAAAATGCGACGGACCGGTTGGGAGGATGACGCTGCGATTCGAAGAACAAGCCTAGTGTTGCGCCGCGGACTAGTCGAGCTGCTGATATTTGCCCATGAGACGTCATTCAGTGAGGGGGGGGGGGGTAATTCAAGGAACGGAACATCTTTGTGCATGTTGACCAAAGGCCTGCCTGCCTGCATGCGGCATGTGCACAATCATCCCTTCCCGTTGGAAGGACGGCTTGCCCGCTGCTGAACTTTGCATGAGAACGTCAGCGGTTTGAAGCAGAATGTCCCATTTATCCGACCTTGTGATGAAGCTGTTTGGGCAGTGGCATGCACCGAATCATTTGTCCAAGCCAGACTTGCCTTACGTTGCTGTGCATGGGCAAGAAGGTCCGCCTCCCGCTCCCAAATTTCTAGTCACAGCGGGCGACACTGTGCTGTTTTGGTTTTTGCAGGACAGTGAGGGTGCACAGCCACTGAACCTGTCGGCCAAGCCTAAGGCATCCGAGAGCAAGTCACCCAACTCCCCCCCAACTTCCCCACAGGTCCATGCTGCCGCTGCCGCTGCCGCCAAGCTGGGCCCCGCCGGCTCCATGAAGCACAGTGTCGCCCCCTCCAGCATCGGAGGACCTCCGGCCAGAGTCAGCTCAATAGGTTGGTGAACACTATTTAGATACACTTGACGCACATTGGTTCAAAAAAAGTAGAACTTAGTTTTGGGGCTGGAACAGATTAATTGCATTTCCATTCGCTTCAATGGGAAATATTACCTTGGTTTATGAACATTTAAAGTTAGAAAGGGGCAAGCAATGAAAATATTGGTTTACAAACACATTGCAGCATCTTGGTTTCAAGGAACTGTTGAAATGAGTTGAAGAGCTTCTTTTTGACAAAAATTGAGCTTTGCCGCCATCTTGTGACCTCTATAAGGCAATTACACAGCATTTTGAGAGGGTGGGTTAATTCCTCGTGAATTTTTCGCTCAACATGACAGGGAGTTGACACTGATCATGAATGAATCTGGACGCACTTATCTTCGTGGCTGACGGGCTCCCTTCTTCGCCGAATCATGACAGCGATCCGTTTCTAACAAAACAAGCTTCCTCAAATAGCAAAAGAAGCAAATCAAATTTTCGCTTAGCGAAAAAAATAGCCACACTTTCAAGCACACGTGCATTGAGGAAGAAGCTGGGAGTGGTTCAGAATGAGTAAAATTGATGAAACAATTGTAATTATTTGTGAAAAAAGATTACATTCACCATATTTGGACATAGAGTGTCGGGTTTCCACCCGCGAATGCTAATTCCAAAATTTTAAATGCGAATGCCTCAACACTCGTCCGAGTCACACTCATGGAAAAAGTATTTTGTTGTTGTTGTTTGTGTACATAATTGGTGCACAGTCGCATTTAATTGCAGTCTATTAAAAAATAATAATAATAAATTGGGTGGGTTTTAGGAGTGAACAATAATAAATGAAAATTATAATCCAACAAATTGTAAAAACATAACATCAGAAAAAAAAATCCCTGAAAATTGAAAAAAAACAAAGTTGAAAATAGAGACCAAAAAAAAAATTGTGACTCTACGGGGGTTGACTGTATCGCATCCGACGCATTTGGTTTTGTGATGCTGCCATGACGCGCATCACGAATTGTCTGGCTTGAGCCACGCAGCGATGAATCCATCTTTTTTTTTCTTTTTTTTTATCCGACATTCCTGGATGCGCTGCTGGCACCCCAACGGACCGAAATAGCACCCCCCATTTACTTGCGAGCGCCGCCATTGTCGCTGGCGTAATCATCCCCGACCATATGCGCCCTCACACACGCACGTGAAATATGACATCAATGAATCACCGTTTTGTGCGCTTAATCCATTTGTCACGCCGCGCTGAGAGTTCAAATACTTCACATATGTAACAGGCTATAATTAGTGTGTTTGTGTGCGCGTTTATTTTATTTTTTTTCCTCCCCCTCCTCCGTGTCACTATTTGCCTTCGGGGCCTGCTGCATTGTTATGTGTTTATTAGTGACTGAAAGAGACAGAGAGACATGAAGTGGAGATGGGGGAGGGTCGAAAGATGGAAGGGGGATTAACACCCTTCTATTTTTTTTTTTTTTGAAGCGGGGGAATAATAAAGCGAGGCACGTATGACAGACAGGAGGTATCACCAATGAGATTAGACAAGCCTCTTACATGAGCCAGGACAGCGCAAACACTCAGCGCTAATGACACAATGACAGCACACATGCACACGCACAACTCAAACGCTCAAACACAATCACTCCTCCCATGTGCAATAGGCCGTCAATCCCCCCCCCCCCCTTCATCTGACTTCTTGGCTAATCTCACTGTTTTTCAACAAATCTGAGGATTTAATATCAGATTAGTGGATTTGCAGTCCCAGATGTTTTTTGTTCGGTGGGGGGAAAAATGGATTACAGTGTTTAAAGTTTGCGCGTGATCCCCCGTGGAATATTCGGATGCTTTTGTGATGAGCCGCCGCCACCGCCGCGGGCCCCATCTGTTGCCGGCGAGTTTAGCCGGTCACCAGCGCATTTGTTACTCCGGTTTGAAGGCGTATTAGGGTTCTTGTTGCAGGTTCAGAGGGGATTGGAGGGCCGGACAAATTGGAAAAGAGTCTAGACGTGCTCGTTTTGATGCGGCCGTGGGTTTGTTGACGTGTGTGTGTGTGTGTGTGTGTGTGTGTGTGTTGTTAATGAAACAAGGAAAAAGTGAACCGGAGGTCATTGTGATTTTTGTTAGAAGAGAATTTGTGAGGTTAACCATCGCGTTTTATGGGCAGCATGTTGGTCATATTTGTGGAAGACGAGGCAATTTTTTCCCTCATTTAAAATTTTCTATTGATCTATAAAATCACTGAATGGCTTCGGTCCTGAGTACAAAACAGAAATGCTCATGGAATAGAAACCCAGCAGGGGTTCTGAGGTCAGTAGACTTTGATCAGTGAGTGGAGCCCAGAGTTCAAAGCAAACATGGTGCATCAGCGTTTACCGGTTGTGCTGCACGCCAACAGAACTGAAGTTCACTGCAAGCGTAAATGCTTTGAAATTCAGGTTGAAACTGCTTTTTGGTTCCCTCATAGCCAGGATTGAGATCTTTTCGAGCATTTGCATCATCAATTTTGCCAAAATCATGCGCCTGCGCTGTACATTGTTCTTTTAGTCATTTTAGTCAACTACTGTTTATTTCTGTACGTTGCTGTAAATGTCTTTCATTCTTTTTTTGTAAGTCTTCAATTCATTTGGCTTCAAATGTTTTGTAACTATGTGAAGCACATTGTTTTGAAGCACATTACCTTGTGCATGAAATGCACTATAAAAATGAAGCTGCCTTGCCTAGTTCAACCCTCAGTTTTACTGCTTATACAAGATAAGATAACCTTTATTAGTCTCACAATGGAGAAATTCCCAATTCACAGCAGCACAGTTAAGAAAGGAAGAAGGAGAACAACAAAATATAGGAGCTGCTGTAATACGTCAGGAACGGATGCCCCTTTTGCATGCATTTCAACGACAATACAGTATTTTCCGCACTATAAGGTGCACCTCGAAGCATTTTCTTGAAAACCGAGAGTGCGTCCAAGTGAGCATCACTGACAGCCTTATAATCCGATGGGCCTTATATATGGATCAATATTCTGATTTTTGGAATGTCGTATTTTAGATGTTACGTAAGCGCTTTGTTCCAGCTGCAGCGGTGTGAAAGCTCTCTATAAAGAAATCTGGATTGTATATCTGTGGTTTTATTGTTTTTGCTCTTGATTGTAAAGTGCCCTTGAGTGTTGTGAAAGGCGCTTATAAATAAAATGCATTATTATTATTATTATTACTGTATTCCCTTTAGCGAAGCTCCATCTAGTGGATGCATAACGCAACCGCAGCCACTATTGTGGCTTCTATTCGATGCGCCTTATAATGCGATGCGCCCTATACATGAAAACAGTTTTCAAATAGGCCATTCACTGAAGGTGCGCCTTATACTCCGAGACTCCTTATAGTGCGGAAAATACGGTAACCGAATAAATCGTCCTAATATGGTCAGGTATAACGGGATTGGGGTCCATGAAGGTGTCAACTTCTTTCCAGCCATCATTTTCTGGCCTAACAGACCCGAAGGCACGTCTCTCTCTTTCTCTCTCCACCTATCAATCTTCCCATCTCAAGTTAAATTGAAGGCCTGTCACTGCCTTCAATTTCAAACACTTTTTTTTTTTTTTTTTTTGGTCCTGTTTGCTAACGTCACGCAAGTCAGCGCGTGTGGAAATGTCGGAAATTAGGGAACCACGGGCTGCGCAAAATGCTATTCGCCTGTCGGGAAAGATTTAGAAGGGGAAAATGTGTGTGAGTGAAATAGAACCCTCCCCTTCTATCTGGGTCACATGCACTTGTCTGGATGGTTGGCATCACTGTCATTGGAACACACACACACACACACTGAAGTGTAGAAGAATACCTCACTCCTCTCTTTCTTTTTTTTTTTTTTTTTTTTTTAATTGAGATTAAAATTGACTGCCACCCGATTCCATCACCTTCCTTCTTTTGGCCCCTTTCACGTCCAGATTTCCCCGACTTCTAAAAGAGTTCACGGCACTGTCATTACCAATCTGAAGCCAGTAATCTGGCCTGAGATGGCATTAGCGCGCGGGGGGGGGGGGGGGGGGGGGGGGGGGGGGGGGGGGGGGGGGGGGGGGGGGGGGGGGGGGGGGGGGGTGCGGCTTAGTGCAGATAAAGACCCCATAAACCAGCAGCGGCGCTTTGTTAGTGGCGAAATGTATGTGATAGGGAACTTTGTGGGGTTACCTGGCTGCCCCTCTGGACATCGACGCACTCAGATTGTGTGGGGAAGTGTAATTAAAGAGTTTTAATTTTTTATTTCTTTTGAGCTGAATGCACATTTGGACATGCTTGAGTCTGAAGGCAGGTATGGATGGAGGCAGCTTGAAGCCATGCCAGCTTGGGGCGCATTCTGACTCACACTCAGTTCCCCTCCCTTTCGAGTGTATGCTAATGTCTTTACCTCGTGGCGAAAAGGAAGATTTATTCTGGCTGAAAAAAACTCCTGCCTCCTCCCTTGAACGTAAACACACAGCGCCAAATGTGAATTACGTTCACGTCATTAAAAACGCAAGTCCAAAAATTCCCTACGAAAAAAAAAAAAAAAGATGACACAAACATATAATAATAGACCGGGCTGCTTTGTTGCCGTCCCAGCAGACTTGCTGTCGTCGCTGTCTTCGGGAGCCTACCTGAATGACCACGAGGCCGTGACCAAGGCCTTTGCCGAGGCCCGCCAGATGAAGGAGCAGCTCAAGCGGGAGCAGCAGGTGCTCGACGCCAAGGTGGCGGCCGTCAGCAGCCTCGGACTTAACAACGGACGCTCCGATAAGGTAAAAAAAAAAAAAAAAAAAGACAACGGCGACACAGAAATGCATGGAGGACCATTATTTCACCTAAGGAGGACTTGATACAAGTGCCCAATACCTTAAAATAAGGCCCAATATCGATAATTGATACCGAGTCATTATTTAAAAAAAAAAAAATCTCCAAAATATTCATTTATTCATTTCTCAAATCGACATTCCCTACTGAAATGAATGACAATGCCATTAATCTGTTTCAGCCTCCCTATAATGACTAAATTCCCACTGAATGGTGTAGTATTGTGCAATATAAAAACATACGGTAGTCATATATGTTTAGATCTAAACTTGACTTTCACTGATCTCAATCGAATCGTAATTTTTTTTTTGTGCCTTTTTTCACCAACGCTTTCCGAACTTGAAGTATATTCTATTTTGGATTTATGATGGTGTTTATGAACTTCTTCCGTTTCAGTATAGAACATACCGTAGTAGTACTATGCTTGTACTGTTTCCCGAAATGAAGAATACGCACACCTTGCGCATGTTTTTTTTTGATGATTTCAAGTAACGCCATGCCATGTGAGAAAAGAGAAAAAAACCCGCTTTAGTGACCCTGCACTTTTCAGAGATTTACTGAACACGGGGGCGGGAGAGATCAGCAAAATGCATAAATCCAATGCGCACACTTGCATAGGAGCTGCTGTTGGCCGCAGCTCACATCCAGACACTCACACGCCGGCTCAGCAAAAATCACCCCACCAGGCCCACTCTTAAAGGCACCTAACACACAAACGCTACAGTATTTTCGATACATTTATGCAAGTCATTTTGCCGACATTTTTGAAATACATTAGCGATAAAATTAAAAAGCGTGTTCGTTTGAATTTTTTTTTTTTTTTTTTTAAATTGTTTGGTGTTTTCAGTGCTGAGGCTAAATAGTGCCGGGCAAGGTACACTTCTTAGTATGTAATTGAGGTGTGTGTGTGTGTGTGTGTGTGTGTGTGTGTGTGTGTGTGTGTGTGTGTGTGTGTGTGTCAACACAGAGCATCCGCGGGACATTAATGCAAAGTGAGGGTGCCGGCTCCTCGGCAGCGTGGCTAAATTGTGGTTATTTGTTAAACATATCAGGATGCCGCATGGCTGGTGCACGGAGAAAAACGTATGGGTACACTCACACAGGCGTGCAGGCGGAGCAAAGCGTGCTAAAAGCGACGTTCACTTATTTACCCTCCTTCTTAATTAGTTGCTTGTTAATTTGTCACTAGATCAGTGTCCCAAAAAAAAACGTCCCCAAAAAGACATAACCGTGTCTAGGGATGAGGTGAATTATGTAGCTTCTGCCATCTAGTGGAAGAACAATGATTTGCTCTGGCTGTCACGATACATCGCTGGCATCGGTCGCTTTATTTTATTTGATTTTTTTTCGGTGCCTGAATTCAAAGCGACGCCTGCGATGATTTCCTTCTGCTCCGTCCGCCGCCCCCTTTGCTGGCTTTGTGCCGCCGGCCCCCGGCGTCAAAGCCTCGCCGCCCGAGCGCCCTGCCCCGGCTACAACAGAGTCATCTCTGACACTCCGGGAGGGATTCGTTTTGTCGCTACTTTGTGTCTCGGCGCCCGTGTCAGCCGCTCAATCCACTTTTCTCGTGTACGGCGCTGGGGCTTAATGTCAGACTAGGCTGCCATCCCATCCACTCTGTCTCCCTCTTCATCCCCCTTCTCGTACAAAAGCTGTGCGCGGGCGTGTGTGTGTGTGTGTGTGTGTGTGGCATCGCATTTAATCTTAATATCTGAGCGTGTGCAAGACATTATGTTCTTTTTTTTTTCCCCTCCCTCGGCAATGAGGTCCGATCACTCGTTTGACATGCAGATAATTCTTCCAAATCTCTCCGTCGATGACTCGAGAGCGATAAATGGCTCTCGTCTCCATTCAAGTGGAAATGCGGCGCAAAGTTATCGCCAACAATGAAACTGTTTTGCGCTAAACACAGAGCATGTGATTAGCCTGCGCTCCATCTCGGCAGCCAGCTTTGTTCAGGTCATGTCTAAATGGAGACTTTTGGGAAGGTTGTTGGAGAAGACAACACCGGGTTGCTTCCCACTCGTCATCGTATAATTAAACTGTAAAAAAAAAAAAAACTAAAATGGGTGTGCGTCGTCAAGTTCCAGCGCACATTAAGCATGCAAATGTGCAGTAAATCAGGCTTTTATTGGCCGCGCGGCGCACCCTCGCTGTCGCCTCTAATGCGTCGACCCCGCGCGCGCCGGCCGCGCTCGGCTCGCGCAGATGGCTGCAAATCCAAAATTGCCGTCAACATCCAAACCTGGAGCGTTCAAAACATGCCCGCGCGCGCTTTTTGGACAATTAGCTTGATTGCAGAGCCACTCTCTGACTCACTCAATCACTCGCTCTCCTGATCCATCCATCCATTATCTGAGCTGTCGTTCCTCACGAGGGTGCGGCGGGTGTGCGGGAAACCCATCCCAGCTGTCTGCGGGACGCAGGCCGGGTACGCTCGGAGCATGTTGCCGGCCAGTCGCAAGGCACACACATCAACAAACAACCATTAACACTCACACCGAGGGACAATTTACAGTGTTCCAATGAACCATGCGTGGGTTTTTTTGGAATGTGGGAGGGAAACCGGAGAGTACCCGGAGAAAACCCACTCCGCCCGCTGACTCTCGGGCCTTGTGTGTGCAGGACAAGGCGGCCTTGGAGAGTCTGAGCCAACAGCTGAAGCAGCAGGCCGAGGACAAGTTCAGCCACGCCATGCTGGACTTCACCATGAGCGGCGACTCTGACGGTAAACGCGCCAACGCGTAAACGGGGCGAGCGTGAGGCGTGCATGTCGGCGGATAGAAGTGCCAGCGGAACATTTCATAATGGGAGGGAGTATCACGAATATGCAATGTGTCATTTTACAAGCCAAGCCAATCAATCGTCTACTATAAATAGTGACTGTGGCGCCACCTGGAGGTTTTGACACACCTGGGCATCCCTGTGTTTATATTAGCGTTGTCTTCGACCATTGCGAAAAGGTCAAAAATCGGAAAATCTACTGTCTGCTTGCTCTCAAACTCTCACTCCTCTTTTTTTGATTTTTTTCCTAGGCTCCCCGAGTGTGTCCGACTCTCGGATATTCCGCGAGGCCCGGGGTCGCGGCAGCAGCGAGCCTCACATCAAGCGGCCCATGAACGCGTTCATGGTGTGGGCAAAGGACGAGCGGGATGATCCGGCAAACCCCGAGTATCCTAACCCCATTCATTCCTTTCGCTCTTTTTTTTGTTCCACTTGGCACCGTTTTACTCAATTTGAAATCAATGAATTCATCAATCAGTGGAAAAAATTATTCTTTTTTGGGGGGGGGGACACATTTTGGAGTCAAAACCCCAATTTATACCGTGTTAGCGCTCAAGAAGTGAAGTCCACGTGTTTACATGCCATTTTTTTCGAGAAAAATCGCAGAGTCAATAGCAATTGCAATATTGAGCCTTGAGGAATGCAACTCTGTTCTTTTTCCAAATCATTCAGCCCTACCCTAGACTGCACGTCGATCAATCAAAGGACACAAACAGATACTGATTTAGCCGACTGATGAATGAACGATTACGATTGACTGACATGTAGACTGCCCAGACGAGAGCTCAAATGAGTTCGAGAAAAACAAATAAATATTGATGATTATTACAATCTCATCCAGAGGCTTTTTGTAAGTTAAAAAATAAAATCTATAATGAGTGGACGTCTTGACATTACAACATAACCAAAATAATAATCTGCTGCCGCAGAAAAAGAGCTTTCGCATCCAAATGTGTTGAATAGCTAACTGGCGTTCCAAGAAACACGCAGTCTTTTCGTAAAAGGTCTTCTGAGATTTGTATCAATGGTCGTAATATATTTATACAGGTCATTCCGGCAACGGAAAAGGCTCAAGCCCCTCGGAGCCTCCACTTGGTTCTCGGTACCTCTCATAGTGTCTGGTCCGCAGGACTGATGCACCAGGCAGATGCGTAGGAGCACAGAGAGGCAAGGTGGGGTGAATATATTTAAAGCTTTTAAAACAAATAAAATCTTAAAAAGAACTCGAAAATGTACAGGGAGCCAGTGAAGGATGCCAGAGTAGGAGTGATGTGCTCCGCTCTTACGAGTACCAGTATAGAGGCGAGCAGCGGCATTCTGGACCAACTGGAGACGCTTCATGGAGGATTGGGTGACTCCAAAAGTAAATTGCATTACAGTAATCCAGCCGTGATGTGACGAAGGCATCAATATACTGTTTCAAAGTGCTCATGAAAAAGGAGAGGTTTTACTTTAGCCAGCTGCCTCAGATGAAAGAAGTTGGATTGAACAACGGCCCCAATTTTCCGGTCCGATTTAAAATCACTGTCCATTTTAAGACCCAAGTTTGAGACTGTTTACTTAAGATAAGGAGCCAGGGGGGCCCAAGTCTACAGGATGGGATGTACAGGGGGCCACTGGGACCAAACACTATCATTTCTGTATTCTTTTCATTGAAATTCAAGAAATTGAGTGCCATCCAGGTTTTGATTTCCTCCAGGCAGGATAAAAGTGGCCTTAATGAGAAAGTGGCTTTTTTGCTCAGTGGGACATAGATCTGACAGTCATCCGCATAGCAGTGGAAGGAAATAACATGTTTCCTGAAGATGGAACCCAATGGGAGCAGATACAGTGAGAATAGCAGAGGCCCCAGAATTGAGCCCTGTGGCATGGCTAAATGAAACTCCAACCCTCAGCTCAACATAGTTGCTTGGCGCTAAGCGGTGAAAGCACAAAAATTGCAAATAGGGGAGCGGAGGATCCGAGTGGGCCAATTCGTGAACATGTGAGGCTTCACTGTTTGGTTTGGCAAAAGTGATTCTGAAGGCCCTGGGCAGATTCGACTGACATGGCAGAGCATCTCCATACACAACTGGAGGTCGTGCAGCAAAGAGAAACTCTACAAAAATGAAAAAAAACAGGCAAACATTCGAGCGCCGGTATCTTTGCTGGTCCTGACTTCTCACCATTGACAAAAAAAAAATTAAATAAAATGTCTGGCTTCTTCCCGTCTCTTCATCCACCAAAAGACACACTTGCAGTGATTTCCTTCCAAGCGCCGGTGTCGTGTAAACGTCCGGGGAGAACACGCCTCAGACAAATGATGATATAATTCATTATGCATTAAACAAGCAACGCGCCGCCGCCTGACATTTCCCCGGGACCGCCGGGATCGGCCCTGACATTTTAAAGAGCTCCTAAGCGTTTTATAACGCAGGGAAATCTGGTTTTAATAAGCCTCCTCTCTCTCTCTCTCTCTCTCTCTCTCTCTCTCTCTCTCTCTCTCTCTCTCTCTCTCTCACTCACTTCTCTCGTCACTCTGCATCTCTCTCGACCTCAATTGCTAACAGATCGCAGAACAGATGAGAACGGCCAAGCGCTGACAGCTTTTAGCCATTAAACATACAGTAGTCGAGCGCAAATTCAGACCAGATATGAGGCTGCGCTAGGGGGGGAAACAGGCGCAAGATTACACCCACGCGCACACACGCTTGGTTCCGATCCACGAGAAGAAAACGGCACTGACGGGAAAGACCCTCATTAGTGGCGGATGAGTACCTGCCGTCCCCTCATTAACCCCCACTTTCCCCGAGTGGATCCGATTCGCACTGGTGACTGACACACGGGCTCAATTTAAGCCTGTTCGTCACATCTCGATCGTCTCGTCATCCCTCCCTCATTTTGTTATGTTAATCACGATTCATCATTAGCCGGGGAAGGATTGGCCATTTGTCCTGCTCCGTTAATTGGTCTCGGTAATTCGGTATCAAGGATAGACAGGAATTTAGTAGGAAATTGCACACTCGACAGACTGGAGTGTTTTACCACGGGCACAGAAGTAGAAACAAATATTTGTGAAAAAAAAATGTGACAAATATACAAATCGCCATGATGCTAATGATGGGAGAACTGGGAATTAGTGGGAGAACTGCGCTCTCCATAATCTTGGGGTAATGTCAGACGATGACATCATTGCTGGTGATGTTAATATAATCCTGTAATGCTGTCTTGAGAGGTGGCCCGGTGGGTCCAGTCCGGTGGTTAGCGCGTCGACCTCACAGTGCAGAGGTACCGGGTTCAATCCCTGTGTGGAGTTTGCATGTTCTCCCCGAGCCTGCGTGGGTTTTCTCCGGGTACTCCGGTTTCCTCCCACGTTCCAAAAACATGATTCCAAAACGAAATTCCATTCGTTTACCACGTTCAAGTGAGTTGAGGAGCTCGCTGTTGCACTTTTGACGTTGACCACAACCGTCCTCTTTCCAAGGCTCGCGCTGGAAAGCCATGACCAACCTGGAGAAGCAGCCGTACTACGAGGAGCAGGCGCGCCTCAGCAAGCAGCATCTGGAGAAATACCCGGATTACAAGTACAAGCCGCGGCCCAAGCGCACGTGCCTGGTGGACGGCAAGAAGCTGCGCATTGGCGAGTACAAGGCCATCATGCGCTCCCGGCGACAGGAAATGAGGCAGTACTTCAGTGTGGGGTCAGTCGAGAAACTCAAAATTGCATACACACTGTATACGTACATATACTCAATATATGCGCATGTACGTCTGCATATAAAAATTAAAAAAATTTTTTGATTGTGTGTTCCATGGCTGCCTTCCAGGCAGCAGAGTCAACTGCCCCTGTCGTCGGCGGGCGTGGTCTACCCAGGCGCCCTCTCCATGGCAGGCATGCCATCGCCCCAGATGCCCTCGGAGCACTCGAGCATGTCGAGCAGCCCCGAGCCCAACGCCAACCACCACCAGCACCACCTCCACTCCTCGTCGCACCTGGGCGGCCTGAAGGGCGACGAGCCTCGCGTCAAGGAGGAGGAGCTGCGGCTGGACGACAGCAACGGCGACGTCTACGACGACTTTGACTACGAGGACGAGGAGGCCGACTACGCCAGCGACAGTGAGAATCACATCGCCCAATAGGAGGAGCCCTGTCAAAAAATAAATAAATCGCCCTTTTGACATCCTTACGTCCTCCCCCCCGTGGACTCTTCGCAGAGCCCAAAGCCCCTCCCATTTAAAAGTCCCGATACCAGCATCTGACCAATCAGCTGAAGCGAAGGACTGTCACCCACACTGACTGTTACACAATCTGGGAGGAAGACAAAGCCAGCCAGCCCGACACTTTGAAGAACGTCACTCCGGCGGGGGGGCGGGAGAGAAGAAAAAAAAAAAAAAGCGACCTTTTAAACAGTTTGTACACGAGAAAAGTCGCAAAACAGCGGACCTGTCACGGGCCAAAACAGATGACACTTTAAAGACGGCGGACCTTTTTAAAGCGAGACAAAAAAAAAAAAAAAAGAAAAACAGCTTTTTTTTTTCCTGTTCTCGGTTCTATAATATTCTCACTCAGGTACACGGTGCCAATAAGTGGCTTGTGAATGTGATTTGTTGTTTTTGTTTTGTTTTTTTTGTGCTAAGTTTGAAGAATAATAGGAAAATATAGTGCTTCTCCCAGCAAGGCTCTGACATACACCCTGAACAGTGTACGCAGCCGAAAATGGATGGATAAAATGGATAAATCCTGGCTAACTGTCGTCGATTCAGTGTAATTCAGTCACATCCGCAGACATTTTTGCTCGCGGTGCTAAGTTTATTCAGTGTGACACATGGAGAATAGTGGAGAATATTAAAACAAAAAAAAAAAAAAAAAGACAAGAAACTAAGTGCTGTTGATCAACTGCATCTCACACACGCACACACACACACACACCCGTTATGTGTTTCTTACCCCGCCCCCTGCTGACCTCAGCGGGCCGCCAGTCAGTGTTTCCATTTTGTATTTGAATACTGTATTTTTTATTATTTCTCTAAACTGCCTCTATTCTAATATTATTAACAATAATTATAAGGACGGTCAGCTATGTTTAGTAAGTTATGTACAGTATAATTTATTTTTCTTCTCTATATCGGGTTTCTATGATGTTATTTTAGTCTGTAGGTATTAGATAAAAATACCCCCCGCCCACCCCACACACGTTTTTTTTGGTTGCTTTTTTTGGGGGGGGGGGTGTTATTCCCTTTTGAGTTTTTCCGACGTTTCGTATTAATCCTCCGCTCGGACAAGCTGAAGACAAGCCGTCGGAAATTTCGAAAAAGCACTCAGACTCTCTCGTCGGAGAAAAGGAAAAAAAAAAAAAAGAAGAACATGATATTTTGTATTGTTATAAATATGATTGCGTTTATTTGTCATCCTTATTCTCAATGTATAATGTGAAGATTTTCGCCCCAATGTTTACCAGCTCAGCCCCGGGGTACGCAGTGGAACATCATTGGCTGGAATCCACACACACACACACACACACACACACACACACACACACACACACACACACACACACACACTTAAGACACACACACACACACACACACACACACACACACTTAAGAGATTATTCATGACAACCAAACAAGTCCTATGCTGTCTTTATTTTATTTTATTTTTTTTTACATTTCGATTAAATCCTGTACATATATTTTGTGAAAGTATTTTGTTTCAATCATAGGAAAGCAGTGTTTACCCCACCAATGGTGTTCTGCTGTGTGCGTACGGCAACTCCAACAGGAGCCTCGATTCTTTTTTTCCTTTTCTTTTATGGTTGTTTTTTATTTTTTATTTTTATTTTTTTTATTTTTTGGAGCTCCACAGAGCCATGACTTCTCATGACTTGACTTTGCTGTACAGTTATTATCACGCCACGATGCTGGAGAGAGGAGAGGAAGGTGGGGAGGAGAGAGGGGAGGGGCATTAGGACGTCAATCATCCCTGCTGGCAAGGTCGCGCCCCCCCTCCGTATCGAGACAATGAAGAAGGCGATCGTATTATTTAAGACAATCAAAGTGGAGTGGAGCTCAAAACAAAGTTTGAATTCTGACGACGACAGACACACACACACAAAAATATCTGACCATCTCAACTTGAAAAATCAAGATAATTATGTAAATATAACATAGAGTTATAGATTTATATTTTGTTCATAACACAGTGTAATATAAATTGTACATTTGGGTTTTTTTCCCCTCTCCTCTCTCTTCCTCTGTCTCTTTTATTGATGTTTATCCATGCCACAGGAGTCGCAGTACTCTTACACACAAGACGAAAATGAAAACGAAAAATTGAGGCGGGGGAAAAAAAAAAAGAGAAAAAAAAGCCGTGGGCTACCACCACCATCTGTTCTAAGTTCACTTTTTTTCAGTATTACTGCCAGACAAGGCTCTAATAAAGACAGCAATGTGTTCGGTAAAACTTGTGTTGGTCCTCATCACTTCTCCTCGAATTCTGACAGTGGGTTGATTCGATTGGCGGGCCAGCCAGGACACGAGTCAAGTTAGCTTTAGCATGAGTGACAATTTTGCTAGCTTGTATTATGTACATGAATTCTACTTCACACATTAAAAAGGAGTTTTCATTCCTGGCCTTTAATGACATTTCAAGCACCGGTGCTAATGTTACTGTTGTTCAATCCAGACATTAGCAACAACAACAAAAAAAGAAGACGTGGAATTTTAATGAAACTTAGAGCCGAGTATGTAACAAGTTGACCATAAACTAGCTTCAAATTCTTAACAAAAGCATGACAAATGTTGACTTACAAGATAACCGGACTAGCCAGGACACGTTGTGTTAGCCTTAGCATGGGTGCTAATTTTACAGTTCTTGTTACTGATTTGGATTAGCATTTAGCAATAATAGAACTGGTTTGGCTAGTTTTGTGCTACCAAAGAGTGACTACAGTAATCCCTCGTTTATCGTGGTTAATGGGGACCGAAACCACCCGAAATAAACGAAAATCCGCGAAGTAGTGAACCCCCCCCGTATATGTGCATGTGTATGAGTATAAAAAAATATTTTCAGGCCAAATTTAATGGTATACATGCACGTAGAATTAAATTTTGTAGTAATTAACATTACTTAATGCTATATATATATATATATATATATATATATATTTATAGATTTAAACATGTATAAGTTAGGTTAGGTTGGTGTATTTATAAAAACGATACAGTCAACATATACATGTAGTACTGTATATGTTGCTCGATGTGACTTGCTGTTGTTTTGCTGACTTTCGCTGCCTCTCGCGGCCCGGTTGCGGGCTTCAAAAAAACCAAAAACATTTATGAATGTTTGAAAAGAATCCGCGATGCACCGAGGCCGCAATAAATGAACCGCGAAATAGCGAGGGATCACTGGATCAACTTTAATTCAACTTAAGCTAAAAAATATGTAATCAAATGACCTTTAAGGGGGCTGGGGGAGGGGAGGTCAAGCTTCATTTGAATGGCACAGTTTTTCACAAAAAGAATAAATATATCAAGCAGGAACTGGAATACCCAAATATGGTTTGTTTGTTTGTTTTTTAATTCAGTCGTTTCCTTCCGCTTTACTGCTTAGTCAACTCAACATTTGACTTACTGCCTCTAAGACCTTTGAAAAAAAAGAGTTTTGGGGGAGGCGATGTCACCAAAATTGCTTTTGTAAAGTATTAAATATCAGTGTCAGTGCTTTTTGAATAGGACGTCACAAGCTTGGCACAACTATCTTTGAGTGGTCATTGTCCGATGTCCAGAAAGGACTTCCATATAGAACCTAATTTGAACGGCTTCGCTTCATTCTACCTTTTTTTAAGTCACCAGTGCTAATTCTACAGTTTAACCCCAGCGAGTCCCAGGGACTCGCTGATCAGAAAAGTGTGAGTCCCATTATACATTTAGAGAGTCCCAAATTTAGAATTCTGAAATGGTCTTCTTATTCAATTGCATATGATAACAACACAAACAACAACAATACACATTGATAATAGGTTTATTTCTTCAACAAATGCTGCGAAAATTTAAATACTTCAGGCATACAAGATTTGCTGAGAAATAGCTTCTTATTTCATCCCATGGTTCAGTCTTTGAGTTCATAAATTATCCTCTCTTTACTCTGCTTCCAAAGATGCAAGACTTTCTCAAAGTCAACTTATCGCAAAAAAACTATCCAATTTTAGCTGCTTCCTCTGTGATAACTCCGCAATAAACTTTCGCAACACTCGTTTTCACGTTACACAATTTGTCAATCGTCTGCTTCCGCGAGGTGAAGGCCGATCTCGACAATCTCGTCTCGCGAGAACGGAAATCTCGTCACGCGAGATTACTTAACACCAGATCAAAACAACAATGACGGCGATTGTCAAATTGCGATCGTTGCTGTAAAAAAAGATGTACCGTAGTTTTTTTGTTTTGTTTTGACTGAGAAATTTCCTTGCGTCCCAAAAACGCACATTATTTGGAACTGTGCGTTGCGCAGGAAAATTATGCGGCTAGGACGCGGAATGCAGAGGTAACAAGATGGCTGAGTCACGTTTTTTCGCCTTCTCCTACACTCAACGGCAACATTTCGATCACCTCCGTAAAAACTCACGAAGCGGCGCAAGCCCCATCAAGACCAGTGAGCAACACGACAACCTCATTCAACCCAAGGCAGACGAGAGGTGGAGTTGCACACTTACGCACACGCTCAGCAAGAGAGCGTCCTATAGGTTAAAAAAAAAAAATGTAAAGTCAAATCTTTAATTGATGGTCCCACTTTCCACGGGTTGAAAAACACACAACCTCACTCAGCGCGCTCGTGAAAATCATGTCCTCCTCATTTGTGTCCATATGCTCGCCAATCAACCCCCTGTCCCCCACTAAAAAAATAAAAAATACACTTTCTGCATAATGCACAGTTGAAAACACTCGGAGGGAGATGATTTTTGCTCATTAGCATATCTTCACAACACCACCCCCCCCCCCCAACACCCACACATATATATACAAATATATACAAATGCCCTTTCTGTGCAAGGAGGGCTACAGATCGGCAACTCTTTCAGTAAGTGAAGGACTTAGTTGTTCTCTGGGCGTGATGAATTTTTCAGAGGCCGCCTAGAGGTAAAAAACCTGAGAACAAGGTTTATGTGTGAATAGCTGAGAAGCAATAGAGGGGATTCACATCTACTCCCCACCCCCCTTCCCCACTTTATTGTCAGATGTACACAAAGTACTCACAGATTAAATCTCAAACGCACACACAGCCCAAGGTGCACTGGAGGAGTTAGCTCGGCTTAAAGCGCAATTATCCAATCGGCAATTTCCATCACAAAAGTGGAAACAAAGGGGCAAAACTACAGTGGGCATAAATTTACATTTGCATTGAGTTTAACTTTCTCTCCTGCTTGGATTTTAAAAATATATATATACATTATATCTCCAAGGATGCTTTTGGGTCGTTTGTGTGACAAAACTGTGGGTGTTGATGGAGGGGAGGGGGG